ACACACACATAAAAATATAGCTATTTTCCTCTAATTAAAAGCTTGGGGGGTGGAAGGCTTGGCTGGTTCATGGCCAGCTATTCCCACTGGGATGCCATCACCATGCAGTGCTGTCACAGCCCAACGCCCCACTGAGGGATGCTCAGGACTGGTTTCACTGGGATTCAAATCACCACCAAAACCTCCAGGTGAAGTGAAGCAGTCCTTCTCTGAGACACACATACACGGTGCCCTGAGATTTATCATGGAAGCTTCTTGGCCCCAGGACTACAACTTTCATATCCTTCCTCTTTGCTGTGCCCACTGCAAGCAGGGAGATACCTTCCCCTCCACTCCCATCACTTTCAACAACAGCAACATGTGGTTTCCTTCCTCCCCAGATCCCAAGGAACATCATCCATCCTCACTGGACCACAAGCAGGGTGGACAGCAGCAGCCAAAAGCTTTGTGGCAGCACAGTGCCGTGAAATGCTGGACCAGGAGCCTGCAGACCTGATGCTGAGCATCAGCACCATTAAAGCCCAGCCCTGCTGGGTGAAAATAGTTTTCCCATCAAACTCCACTTCCAAGCTGACCCCTTACACAAGTCTCCCAAAACAACCTCAACGGGGAGGCAGGGACACATAAAGCAAATCCAACATCCCCAGCACAGAGCTTGCAGCGACCCAGCTCCCACTTTGCATGGAGGAGGCTCTCCAGTGCAAAATGAATGTGGGGACATAGAAAAGCCCTGAAGACACAATGCTCAGGACGCTTCCCTCTCCCCCTCTCACTATCTCCAGCACATGGAAGCACCGTCCTTTGATGGATATTACTTAGGCAGCACATTTGAGCTCCCAGCAGCTGGCACACGAGATAACTACAGCCAGAGCCTCCAAACCACAAGGGCTGAAGGAGGAGGAGGAGAAGGAGGAGGAGGGGGATCAGCCTCCCCCAAAAGTAGCTCCAATTCCATCGTCGCGTCGGAAAAAAAGGAAACCAAGTTATTTAGAAAAAGCCAACTCCATGCATTTTTATTTGAAGGAGATAGTGTCAGAGAGACGAGCTCTTCCACAGCTGCAGGAAAGAGCTATGAGACAGGTGAATGCAAAGCAGCCGCCGGCCCCAGCAGCTTATCTAGAGCGGTGGCTGCAAACAAGTCATCCAAAAACACTCAATGCTTCGGGTGGCACTTGATGCCTTTGGAAAGGGTGAGAGGGCTGGATGGGTCTGTGGGGATGTGCAAAGGTGCTTAGGCTTCTCCATGCCTCTGAAGGAGCCTAATACATTCCCTGCACCCTGATCCTCCTGCTATTCTGAGCTTGAGGAAGGAAAAGATGCTTAAAAAACCCACCTTCTTCTGAAGAGAAGGAAGAAGCAAGTCTTTTGATGGAGATTTCTGCTTGACTAGAACCCAACTTTACTTTGGAATGGTAATACTGATTATTATTAATCATTATTAATCACAGGAGGGATCTAATTCCCTCCTCTTTGGCCAGGCAGGAGGATGCCAGCACACAGGTTCTCCACCACCAGCAAACAGCCCTGCCCAGCTCCAAAGAACATCCCTGGCATTAAGGATACTCCAGAAAAATAAGGAACTGTGCTGAGACATCACTCAATAAGCAAAGGGAAGAACTGGCAGGAGCAGAAAGAGTTTGTGGGACCATCTCTCAGCAGGACACTTAATCATAGGCTTTCCCTGAAACACCCACTTAAATCCCTTCTGCTCGAGTGACGTGTGAGTCCTGCTGCATTAAATACATTCCTCAAGAAGCCATGGCCGGAATAGTACCATTTCCATGGCACTTTGAAACACTTTTGAAACACAGAGGAGAACATACCCCCTCGAGCATCCCCTGTCGGAGGAGCACATTAAGGTGCTGTTAACACAGCCACCGGTGGGGGTTTGACGCTGCAGCGGGTAAGAACCGCTCAGCCAGCACTGAAGCAGCCAGCTCTTACTTCAACATCAAACACCCTTGCAGAGGATCAAGCCGCTGTTTTTCCCCATCCCTGTCATCCTCTTTGCTCGGGATATTTCGGTCTCTTCCCCAGCCCATCCCACCCTGGAACGCTGTCTCCAGGCGGAAGATATATACTTGCTTAATGTACATATTAATACACCTATCGACTTTGCTGTTGTCAGTCATTATCAAGATTTATCCAGCCTGATGGCCTCATATTGATTGCAAAGGAGTGTATTCCCACGGGTCAATCAATTCTGATCCAGCCTGTGGCATGAAGTCAATACCTATTTATTATATGATCTACGAGCTCCATTATTTAACTGCTAGGAAAGGGGAAACGCAACAAAATTAACAGGAGGGAAAACAACAGGGCTGAAGGTGATGCTTTTGCTCCTAAAGTGGTTGCTTTGGCATGGGGAGGGTTAGAGGAGGGAGGACCTGCTCCCAAATTACACCTGCAAGTGGGGAGAGAAGGGCCAGAGCTGAAAGGCATCTTGGAAACACCCAGATGCATTGCTCCAGGGAAGCAATGTGGCAGCACCGTGCCTCAGTTTCCCTCCTGTTGAGCAGGATTTAGAGCTCCTACTTAACTTTCCACGCATGAAAGAAGGCTGATAGGTTGTACCTTGAGATTGTTGGATTGCAGTGAGGAGGAAAAGGCAATTTGGTGTTCATTAAAGCTCGATTGGTCAACGTGGCTCCCTGGAGAGGACAGGCTGGCTGCAAGCAGCCCTCACTGGCTTGAGCAGCCAGTCCTGGCCCCACAGAGCACCCACAGGGGGAAAACCCAAACAGCCTCAATCTGTTTCATCTGAAGAGCTTCCCCTTTACTTCCATCCTTCAAATCGCGTTAAACATCCTCTCAGCCCCTGGCTCCCTGAGTATTCAGATTTACAAGCCCTAAATCCTCCACAGCTGAGCTGGGACACTATAAATGTCAGGAGGTTTGGCACAGGGAGAGGCTTGGAAGAGCCGAGCGCTTAAAGCTGAGCTTTGCTCAGAGATTCCCCGTGCCCACAGGGAATAGGATCCAGGGATGGGAGAGGATTCCCTGTGAGGAGCTGAGCTTGTTCCTCCCAGCAGCAGAATCAAACATTAGATGTTGCCAAAAGCCAGCATAGAAATACATTATAAATCAAAATAAACCCAAACAGTTCATTTGGTGCAAGAAAGTTAACCTGTAAGACACAGCCACAGCATTTGGGATATTCTTCCCATCCCTTGCTCCCACACCTTCCCTTATTAATTCACGGCAGGCAATGTGTTCCCTGTTATTGAAGCCAGTTTGCTTTGCCAGGGAAAAGAGCAAACTCTCCTTTCATCTCTGGTATCTCACATAAGAAGAGCTCCCCCCACTAACCACCAGCTCCAGGGAAGGGTTTGTGAGATGCTCCCACTCCAACAGAAACACTCCAAGTTTCTCTACTGAAAGGCACCTTCAACAAATTAATTCTCTTTATATAGTCCTGCCATGGTCAAACTAAATTCCTAATGTTCTTCAATGTTCTCCTTGGTCTTCCTGGCACATCAGAACAGAGACATAAATCACGGCCACACAGCCCAGGGGGAGATCACCAGCAGCCATTCAGTTGGCTCCCGGTCAAGCTCTAAATCCAGAGCTGCTCTGGCATCACACTGCGATGAGAGGGGACAAAACCGTGCCTGGAGCATCTCAGGGAGCAAATCCCAGGGTCTTTGCACAGTCTCCTGGTGCCACGTTGGAGCTTTTAACTAAAAACCAAGTAATCTTCTTAGAAAAGCTGCACCAAATCCCCCACGCAAGTCAGCAAGAGCTCAAAGCACAAAGGCTCTGGCTCAAACCTCCTCTTCTCCTGCCTTTGAGACCTGCTAACCCGCTTGCAAACAACGCTGCCATCCAGCAAGAGCCATTGGTGCCTCCCAGAAAGCTGTTGATCTCCCCCTCCTCCTTTCATTACAGCCTAAGTGAGACCCAGGAGCCTTTGGAAGGATCAATAAGTGTGAAAATCCCCCTTTTTCCTTTTTACCACAGAAGGAACACCCAGAATCCTAAAATCTGTTTGTTTCTGCAATCCATCACCCTCGTGGGTGGCTTGAGCCATTGCAATTGCGTTAGAACACTGATAGACTTTGTCTTTTGAGGGACCTCCTGGGTGGCTGGGGCTTTACCACCCTCCCCCCGCTGCCACCGGTGGAGGCCGGGACTGGGAACCCCCAGGAGCTGACGTGAGGAGCTTACCCAGGGCTTTGTCTCATTGAACACCAGCAAAAACAACTTGGCATTTGCCTGCATGCAGCAAACCCGGCGCTTTTCCAGTCCTTTCATTTCCACTGGGCCGATCACTTGGATGCTGTTCCGTGCTATCCATTATGCAGCACTCCAAGCATCACCAAGATCACTTTCGCTCTTGCTCAAGACTAATTAAGATGAATGTTAACTGTCTCCAGCACTCATTACCTAAGAGAGAATCTATTAGCAGCTCTGATGGAAGCGCTCTTTGGAGTTACCACCTCCCATTGTCAAAGGGTGCTGGATTTCTCCCTTTCTTTTCTGACCCGGACAGTTGCATGAAGAGGCAACTCAAGAATCATTGACTAATAGAATGGTTTGGGTTGGAAGGAACCTTTAAAGCTCACCTAGTCCAACCCCCTGCCACAGGCAGGGCCCCCTGCCACTAGAGTCCACATCCAGGCCTCTCATAGCTCCCCAGAGCGCAGCAGAGGGGCAGGATCCCCTCCCTAAGCTGCTGCTCACGCTCTGGGGGTGCACCCAGCACACGGGGGGGTGGGGTCTGGACTCAAGCACACACTGAAGCTGGGTCATGGGGAATTGCTCCTCACCCAGCACCCCAAGTCCTTCTCCTCAGGGCTGCTCCATCCAGTCTGCCCCAGTCTGTGTCTGTGCTGGGGATTGCCCCAACCCAGGGGCAGGAACTTCCACTTGGCCTTGTTGAACCTCATGAGGTTCTCATGGGCCCACTTAGAGCTCATCCAGGTCCCTCTGGATGGCATCCTGTCTCTCAGGCATGTCAACCACACCACACAGCTTGGTGTCACCTGCAAATGTGCTGAGGGTGCCCTCAATGACTATGCCATTGATGAGGACATTAAGCAGTACTGCTCCCAGCCAGCTGGCCAGACCAATGGTTGATGCAGAGGAAAACCAGAGTGTTAACCCAGAACATCATGCTGCTGCCTCAGTTTCCCCCTCAGCTCTCGCCTGTGGGCTGTAGTGGTTGGAGGGGGAGATTTCTTTCTGCTAATGAGATGATCCATGAATATCACAAGCAAGCAGGAAGGAAAACATAGGGATGTGAGAAAGCAAAAATAAACTGGTCTATAAATAACTCCCCTCCGGCTGCGCCGGGCAGCACGTCGTGGTAAAGCCCTTTCCAGGGATGGGCAGCTGCTTCCCGCATGCACAGGAATACAGAGATTTCTTTAACAGCTACAAGAAACTGCTGTTCTTGGTGGAATAACATCCTCGAGCACCCACTCCTGAGCACCCAGAGAAAAGGGGCCTCTTCTGCACAGAGCCATTTCAGGCCCGGAGATGTGTGCAGGGAGAAGCAGGCAAGGAAATTCAGACTTCCTGGATTTGTATACAGTTAGCCCCATCAGACAGCTGGGACTGGTTTTCCCCACTCCAAGCAAAGCTTGGTTTAACGTTATTCCCATAAACCCACTTTATTGGTGGGATTGGAAGTGTTGGAAGGCTGCTCTAAGGTCTCCCCTGCATCTTCTCTTCTCCAGACTGAACAAGCCCAACTCTCTTAAGCCCAACTGATCTCATGATCATCAGAGATGTCCCAAGAAGCCTCCCAAAATGCCCAAGCCAGGATAGACCAGACAAGGACTGCGGGTACAAGGGCAAGGGAACATCCCTGCACTGTCATGATGGGAAATGGAAGGGATGCTTTGCCCTTAGAGCCCCAGAGGTGCCTCCTGGAGAAGCACCAGCAGAACAGAGCCCACCAGAAAGCCTCAAAGGGGAATAAACTGTGTCTGGAAATGACCTCTAGGCTAAGGGAACGTGCACTCATGGCTTCCCAAACACTGCCTAAGACTGAGCTGAGCCCCTTTCCAGCATTCCCCTCATCATTCCTGTACCCTCATGGCCAGCCCAGCACCAGACACGATCGCACCCCACAAGTCCCAGCAGGAGAAAACCAACCAGGTTCCCTGTTGCAATGGAATAATTATGGTGATGTTGACTCAGCCTTCGAAGAACACGGATAAAAGCAGGTTCCTGGTTGTAGGCAAAGAGCAAGCAAGGCACGGAGATGTTGCTAGCACAGGTTATATTTAGGGCAATCCAATAAATCTCTGTTTTGACCTTAAATAAAGGACTGAGTGCAGCTGGGAAGAGAAGGAAGGCAAGCAGCACGCTTCACAGCCCTCATATTAATGCATCAAGCTACGGATTTATTTTGTCAGGCTGTCAAAAGTGGCACCTTTATGGGTTTATATAAAGAGGCATTAGAATAGAAAACACTTTGTAGCTAAAAAACCCCATTAAAATAAAGAATATATTGCCCAGGTTTTGATACTGAATAGGATTGAAAAGCAAATAGGGGCTGCAAAGGGATGGAGAAGCTGCGTTCTCCTGCGTGTGGAGGCTGCGATGCAGTGTAACGCATGGATGGGGTGTCTGACGCATCTGTCAATACAGGTGTTTGCACCCTTTTCAAGCAGCTTTTGGCCTAAGCTAGCTAATGGATGGAGAGCTGAAACACTGCTGGATTTTCACAGATGACTGGGTGTTGGTCCAAAATAAAAAGCTTATTCCTCTCCAGTCCCTAGCTGGGAACAACCAGCCCTTGTTTGGAGTCACCCTGTCTCAGGAGGATATAATTCCTGAGCCAAACACTGTTCATGAACCCACCAGAGCAGGGAGCAAGTGATGGCACGAGGAGCCACAGATTTAGGCTGAAATCCTTTGCTGTTGAGCAAGGAGGGAGCAGAGCAAAGCTCCCACGCTGGTACCCACAGAGCTGCCCTACCTGGGACCAGGAGTTGCTGCTTTCAAGGGGACATTAGGAAAGGATGATGCAATATTTCATTGCTGGTGGCAGTGTTGCTGTTTCAGTGCATGGTTTTGGAAACACTGCCAGGAGGAGGCTGGAAAATCAACCTCATCTTGGGGAAGCGTCTCCAAAAGAAGGTAACCTGTGGTGGGATGCAAAGCAGCACCTTGTTCAAGCCCCATGGCTGAATACATTGTCCAGAGGTGAGGGAAATAATTGAATACTCAGAAATAAAGATATTTCACATGACAACAGCTTCTCCAGGAGTGGCTGCAGCCTCCCTATCTCGAGGCCAGGGGGGATTTTGCAAATGCCCACCCATGCAAGGGTGCTCGGTGCTGTTTCCAACAACAGGTACATGGCAATTCCTTGAGCACAAGACAGCTCTGGAGGGTTTTGAGATGGTTTGTGAGACCCCAAATCTCAGCTTGCTCCCCAACCAGCTGAAAGAAGCCCCCTCCAGCAGCCTCATCCCCCTGATGCAATGCCCCCGAGCATCACCAGCACCCAGGCAGCAGCTCTTCAAACCCCCAGTCTCCCTCCCCTGCCCCTCCCAAACTCACTCCTATTAGTCCCATACCCAATTTTGGGTGTAATAGAGGCAACAGCTTTGGGAAAGGGAGGAGACCATGACTTCTCTTGCAAGGCATCCCAGCTCCTTGGGAGTGAGGACACCCTGTGGATGGGCTCTGGACCTGTGGAGGATGAGCTCTCATTGTAAGCACCCGGTTTTCCCACCCCTGCTGCCCTTCTGGCTGCTTTACAGACCCTTGGACCTGACACTTGCACCCTGCTGAGCCTTCAGACACCCAAGTTATTGCTGCTTTATGCAATTAGAGGCTTTCCCACAGTCAAGCAGGGTCCAGCCCCACCAGCACCCAACCAAGGCATCATGCCATAAGAACCCCAATCAGTACAGAAACAGCCAATCCCACCAGGTTACATCCCTCCTGGTTAATACAAATCATTCCTGTCCCTAATTAAAACAAACCATTCCTGTCTCAAGCTCCACTTGTACAGAAGATAAATCTGCCTGGACACACTTGGGTGGGTTTGCTGTCTGCTTCTCAGCATAGGTCACAGCAGATGAACATCCCTTTGCTAGGGCAGGGGGGCATGCCCAGTCTTGCCTCCTGGCATCATCAGATGGTGGTATCATCTTGTTAAAAGTGTTTTGGGAAGGAGAAACAATCCCATCTGCACATGAGATGCATGCTGGGGCTTACCTGGTGATGATGGCGAGGTGTGGAGGGCTCATGCAGGCTCCCATGAAGAGCACCACGTTCTCGTGCCGGGTCTGCCGGTACGCCATCACCTCCCTCTTGAAGGCCTTGAGCTGGTCCTCGTTGTCCCGCTCGATGTCGATGAGGCGGATGGCCACCTCCCCGTGCCAGCGGCCGTGGAAGACCTGCCCGAAGCGGCCCTTGCCAATGAGCTCGCCGATCTCGAGCTGCTCGAAGGGGATGTCCCACTCCTGCAGGAAGATGCTGGTCTGGCTGGCCTTGCGCGGGAAGTTGCGTGTGGAGAGCAGCGAGAGGTTCATCTCTTCAAAGTCATCCTCGGACTCCTGCACCTCCTCGGGGCCTTCCTCATTCTGCCAGGGGGCAAAGGGAGGTGAGCGCAATAGGAACTGCACCCAAGGAAGATAATGGGGACAAGACCCCACTGACACTCCCACTGCTCGCTCAGACCCAGAGGAACCACGCTGGTACCTTCCAAAGGCAACCAAGTGGCAGGAACTCAGATTTACAGGGAGTCATTTATTTACCCCAGGGTTAAATACAGGAGTGGGATACACCAGAGCGTTTAATCCATTCATCTGACAGCAGTGCTTCATCCTACTATGGCCAAGTTGTGCTCTGCTAGTACAACTGCTCCCACCCTGGCACCTCCTGGTCTACACAGAAGGCACCCCAGGGTGGATCTGACCTTCCCCTTGATCTTTTCCCTGTGTCTGCTTTCTGTAGGATTTAAAACACCCGTTAAAAGCTGCATCCCCATCTTCACCCCCCACTCCTTCCCCTCCACTGCATCTCAGAAGAGCTCATTGAATTCTAAACCTGAGGGCGGACATGAAGCCCATGAGAGTCCCGCTTCATGGGGTGGGCACACGGATGCCTGGCAAGGACCAGGCCTTGGCCATTAATTCAATTACCAGCAATTTCACTGCACAGATGTTCAGCTTCTCTGATTGCTGTGAAATGTGCCCCAAGACATGTGTAAAATAAAGGTCTGTTAAGCACAGGAGCAGGTCCTGCTGTCTCACCTCCGAGGTGGGCTCCACTTCAATTTGAAGCAATGGATTTCCTTCCAGGCTGTTAAAAGAACGACTGCATTAGTGAAAACACAGTTAGGTGGGGAGCACACATAGGCACCAAGTCCTGCTTCCCACAGCATCACTGCACCAGGTCTAAACAGATCCGGGATGAGAAGTACCAGGCTCAGTGCTCATGTGGGAGAACAGCCCCTTCCCACCCACATCCCGGCTGTCTCCAAGCCCAAGGACAGCCCTGAGTGCTCACATGGGAGGCGGGAAGATAACAGGGATGAGCAATGTTCATAATTGCATTAATTAATATTGGATGTGTAAAGTTCCAGGCTGGATTTGGTGATGTGGGAGCACACAATCAGATCTCCATCACCCAGAGCACACAGTGAGGAGGATGCCTCATCACCACGTGTCCTGGGAGGTGTCACCCCAAACTCACCCAGGGAAAGGGACAGATTTGCACCCTTGCAGCTTTTGACCATATCAAGACAGAGCTGGGGCATGTGCTTGTGCATTTTTAGGTGGTCTCCAAGATCAGAATTACCTCTCCAACAAACACCAGCCAAAGCAACAAGCACAGCTGATCAGACACCAGAAGTGAAGAAAATAGGGTTTTTCAATCATTTTTGAGAAGTGGAGCTTTCAAAAGTCCTCTCTGCTTTAAAAGAACCCAAATTCATCTGGTTTCCCAGCTCCCTGGACCAGGAGCTCCTCTTTTTATTCTCCACTTACACAGCACCTCCCACCACCAGGGTCTCACTGTGCCCAGCAGTTAACAGGGAATTAGGGGAATTCCGTGGGGAAAATCAGCTGGAGCAGCTCAGGTGGTTTCAACCGTAATATAGGATATTATAAATGATTATGATCAATAACATAAATAGCAGCATCCTCTCCCAGAAAGAGCAAGGATCAGAGGAGAGGCTTAACACTCAGTGGTCCTGTGTGTCCCATTCAGCAGCCACTAAAGAGCTATAAATCCCAGGAGAGACATGGATGTATATATAAAAGAAGTCGACCCTGATATTTTAATCCACATGGAGAACCCAGGGGGATGCAGATGGCTTCTGCTGCCCATCACGATGCACGGGTGGTTGCAGGAGCACCAGTCTCCCTCCTCCTGCCTGCTGTTTAACCCAGGCATGAATACCTGTCTCCCGAGTATCGGAAGCAGAGGCTGGTGTTTAACGCAGCCAAGCCCCGGGTAACCTCAGTGCCTCTGTTCTAACCATCCTATAATGCTGTGATTTTCAGTGGGGTGAGCAAGAGGAGAATCAAAGATTTTGCATATTGGAAGCTATTTCCCGTAAAAGCCCACCAGCTCTACACCCCATACCTTGCAAAAAGAACCCCAAAAGACTTTGATTTCACCACTTTGCCATTAATTCCCCAGCCACCAGCAGTGACAAAGGCTCCATCCCCATCCCTCCCATTGCCTCCCCCAGAGGTGGGATCCACTGTTGCCAGGGCCGTTTGGAGAGCATGGGGGAGCCAGACACAAACCACATCACAGCCTGAAGCGAGACCCTGTCTGTTAAACTGCTGGCTTAGAATGTCCTTCCAAAAGGGCATTTATCTAAAGGATCAGCAAGCAACAGTGAACTGAAACGTCGGGCGCAGGCACAAGGGCCTTGGTGAATGCTGGGATCAGCAGAGCAGCTCAGACTTGACCTGCCAGGGAGATACTGCATTGCAAAACTAACGTCAGTGCAAAGTTTGTTGGACTTGAAACTATCACAGGTAGGGCTGCAAGAACTCTATTAAACTATCTCAAAGAGCCTGGTTCCCTGCTTATAATTCAACACAGACTGATTACAGACTGATTTGTGTTGGAAAGGACCTTAAAGCTCATCCAGCCCCAACCCCTGCCATGGGCAGGGACACCTTCCACTGGAGCAGGTTGCTCCAAGCCCCTGTGTCCAACGTGCCCTGGACCGCGCCCAGGGATGGGGCAGCCACAGCTTCTCTGGGCACCCTGTGCCAGCGCCTCAGCACCCTCACAGGGAAGAGCTTCTGCCTCAGAGCTCATCTCAGTCTCCCCTTTGGCAGGGTAAAGCCATTGCCCTTGTCGTGTCCCTACAGGCCCTTGTCCAGAGCCCCTCTCCAGGTTTCCTGGAGCGCCTTTAGGCACTGGAGCTGCTCTAAGGTCTCCTCTTCAGGAGCCTTCTCTTCTCCAGCTGACCCAGCCCAGCTCTCTCATCCTGGCTCCAGAGCAAAGCTGCTCCAGCCCTCGCAGCAGCTCTGGGACCTCCTCTGGCCTCGCTCCAGCAGCTCCACACTTAGTAAGATTAATCTCTTGGGCTTTGGCTTCTCAGACTGAAAGTCATTTTTATTCCTGATGGTGAAGCACTGGGCAGGTGCGTTGCTGTGGGTCATAAATCAATCCCCTGTCCTCTCCTTTCAATCTTTCTCCTCCATGAGACATAAGCCAGAGCTGTGAGCTGGGTTAGGGCAGCAGGAGCATCCCTGACCATCCACCCCAACTGCCCAAAAGGCATCCCTGTGCCCCAGACCGGTCCTGCAAAGCCACAGGAGCACCCCTCGGTGCCTGGAGGAGGTGTGGAACGGAGGATGCTCTGCACGGGGAGGGGAAGGTGAAGTTAAGGCAAGAGGAAGAGGAGGCACTCACATGGGGTTGGAGTTGACAGGGTGGAGGATCACCTGCGGTGCTCGGGTCGGTGTCTCAGGCACCACATCTGGGGAGGAGAGAGCAAAGTGAGAGCAGGATGGAGGCACCAGGAGCCCCTTCAGTGCTGAAAACCTCCCTTCCTAGAAGCCTAGAATGGTTTGGGCTGGAAGGAACCTTGAAGATCATCTAGTTCCCTGCATCCCCAGGTCCAATTTAGTTACACTCTTAGCTATAGCTGGGTATAACTTAGGGCCATCCAGCCCTGCAGCATCTTAGTGCATGGTCCTGCAATAATATACTGGTCTGGGGGAGAAATCCCACCCCAGCACAACGCCCCTGCACACATGCAGGGGTTAGGAGAGCCAGACATGCACCCTCCCAAGGGATAGCTCAGCACCCTGTGCTTCAAGAGACATACCTGGGAAAATGAACTGCTGCTTGTATTTGTAGTAATGGGAAGCTGGAAAAGAGAAGAAGGGAGTTAAACACCAACCTGCAGAGCCAGACACTGGAGAGGTTCCAACCTGCACCCCGTCCTCCACCATGGAACACCAGTTTCAGGTCCCCTCCATCCCCATCTCCCTGGAGGATGCAACCCACAATACCACACAGGGTGCCAAATTAAGACTTGGCTCCCAACCAGCCTTCAGGAACCACTTGGCATCATGGAGACAATGGAAGGGTGCTCAGGCATTGGAACAGGCTGCCCAGGGCAGTGGAATCACCATCCCTGGAAGTGTTCCCAAACTGTGAAGACGAGGCCTCAGTGCCATGGGTTAGTGGTGGCCTTGGCAGTGCTGGGGAGCAGTTGGACTTGATGAGCTTAAAGGGCTTTTCCAACCCAGTTGATTCTGCCCATTTTTGCCTGGTCCGGCCCATCTAACTGTGCATTCTGTGTGCGTTTTTCCATGCTCTGGAGCAGTGTCCTTCCCAGGGTCCCTGCCTGCTCCTGGTGCGCTGAATGGTCCCCTGGGGATCACTGCCGAAAGCCAGCACTGCAGGAGGGCTCTGGGTGGTGGTACCCTCCATTATCTCCCTATCACCAGCAGGCAAAGCCCAAGAGCTGATCGACTCACACGGGCAGGCAGGTCATGGGTATGAAGCAAGAAAGAGCTGCTGAGGCCACCAGAGGTTGGCACCAGTTCAGAAGGCACCATCTCCTTAAGCTTCAAGACCCCAAAGGCTGTTCTTCAGCTTCAAGACCCTGAAGAATGACCCCAGCTCTGCAGCAGGACCCCTGAGCCAAGATCAAAGGAGACTCGAAGGTAATTCCAGCAGAAAAAGGTCACTGTGCTGCACTTTCCAAGCTCAAATCCTAATGCCCAAGATGCCTGTTTTGATGAGATGAACCATGGAGAACTTCCCAAAGGAGAAGATGAAAGCACACGAACTCCTGCTTTGTGTCACACTGGCTACTGTTTGCCACAGGGCTCTGCTCATCACAGGCATGAAAGCCTGGAGCAGTGATCCCTCTGAGCTGCCTGGGG